TAAATATATACAAGTTAAAAATATTTTTATCATTATATAATTATTTTATAAATATTCCGTTCTTTCATTAAATTATGTGAAAAGTATTTATAAATTTGATTATTTGGATAAAATATTATTTTCCAAATTTAATAACTGAAGTTAATTTAAAAAATAACTATATTATGTGTATATATAAATATATCGGTTTGAATTTTAGGTACATACTTAATCGCCATTTTAGTGATCACATTGGGTATTGCCCTTAATGAGTCACTAGCTGATATTCCAACAAAATGTCCCGAGATTAATCTACAAAATGAGACATTTTTTATACCCCATGAAAATGACTGTACAAAATTCTACAGTTGTCACATGGGAGTGAAAGGAAAGCCAATAGATTGCCCTTTCATGGATGAAAATGGTAATAAATTGCACTTTAATCCCAAACTTCAAGTATGCGATTGGCCCTGGAGTGCAGGATGTCAGACACCGTCATCGAATTCGACAACTTCATCAAATATTCCGACAACAATAACACCAAATACTACGACTTCTTCGACGCCGACAACTCCGACATCAACGCCTATAACAACGACACCGAGTACTTCAACATCGACAACTCCAATACCGACGACTCCGAGTTCTCCAACGCCAACGACTCCGACTCCGAATACTCCAACGCCGACGACTCCAACACCGAGTTCTTCGATACCGACAACGCCGACGACCTCGACACCGAGTTCTTCAACGCCAACGACTCCGACACTAAGTTCTTCGACATCGACAACTCCGACACCGAGTTCTCCAACGCCGACAACCCCAACACCGAGTTCTCCGATGCCGACAACGCCGACGACCTCGACATCGAGCTCTCCAATACCGACAACATCGACACCGAGCTCTCCAACATCGACGACTCCGACACCAAGTTCTTCAACGCCAACGACTCCGACACCGAGTTCTGCAACACCGACGACTCCGACATCGAGTTCTTCAACACCGACGACTCCGACACCGAGTTCTGCAACACCGACGACTTCGACATCGAGTTCTTCAACGCCGACGACCCCGATACCGAGTTTTCCAACACCTCCATTGGATTCTTGCGAATCTGATAACAGAACACACATGCTTCCCCACGAAACTATGTGCGATCATTACTATTTGTGTTTCAATAACTGGGTAAGTCCCATCTCTCAGAAATGCGACCGTAATTTATTATTTAATTCATTGCTTCGTGTATGTGATTATCCGGAAAATGTAAATTGTAAAAACTCTTCGCCAAATACGGATAAATCAAGTTTATCATCGATTTCGCCGCCGTTTAATTACTCATTGCCGACAAACTCAGATCCAGTTGCTTGGGTTTGCGAACCAAATGGCAAATACAAAATTCCTCATGAAATTATATGCGATTACTATTATTGGTGTGTCAATGGCACAAGAGGTATGAATTGGGTAAGATGCGAAAGCAATTTATTATTCAATCCAGTGGTCGGTGAATGTGATTACTCGGAAAACGTCAACTGTGGATACAGAAGTACTTTGTCACCTACAGTTCCTTCTTCAACTATAAGGATTACGTCTTTAATAACTACGACTCTAACGATTCCAACGACAACAACTTCAACAATTACGACTCTAACGACTACGACATCTACGACTCCAACGACTACGACATCTACGACTCCAACGACTACGACATCTACGATTCCAACGACTACGACATCTACGACTCCAACGATTACATCTACGACTCCAACGACTACGACATCTACGACTCCAACGACTACGACATCTACGATTCCAACGACTACGACATCTACGACTCCAACGATTACATCTACGACTCCAACGACTACGACATCTACGACTCCAACGACTACGACATCTACGATTCCAACGACTACGACATCTACGACTCCAACGACTACGACAGAAATAACGATTACAACCCCAACAGAAACCACAACAAAAAATCCCAATGAACCCCGTAAGAAATGTCCTCCAAAAGGATCAACGGAAAAAGCGCGGATTGCTCATCCATGTCTATGCAACCGATATTATGACTGCATAGACGGTGAAAAGATATTACAAACATGTCCGATCGGTAAGCATTTTGATTACATGAGAGAGATTTGCGATTGGGCTTCAGTAGTAAAATGTATTCGACCGATTCCAACCTTTAAAATTTTAACCTCCGACATTGATGACTATAATACTACATGCGCTCCAGAAGGCAGAGCATTTCAACATGACACCGATTGTTCTGCCTATTATTTATGCTCCAACGGTGAGAAAATTTTAAGACAGTGTATGGAGGGACTTCACTTCAACATGACCATCCAAACATGCGACTATCCGCAAAAGAGTTGCGATCTGAACAGATCCTCGCCAAGAATCAATTTAGATATTTGCCCTCCTCCAAATTCCGTACAGGAAGTATTTTTACCTCACGAATGTGAATGCACACAATATTATGAATGCATTGATGGAAAGAAATTTCTTCGATTTTGTCCGAATCGTCTACATTTTGATCCTGTTTGGCAAATTTGTAACGATCCAATTGAAGCCAAATGTGTTGTTGATATAATTTCGACAACGTCTACATCAATATTTACAACATCATCAACTACGGAAGCTATCGATGAACCTCGCACAACGTGTCCTCCTAAAGGATCAACTGAAAAAGTACGACTTCCTCATCCATGTCTATGCAATCAGTATTATGAATGCGTGGAAGGCGATAAGGTATTACAAACATGTCCAATTAACATGTACTTTGATGATGCAACAAATGTTTGCGATTGGAGCACCGAAGTGAAATGTATCTCACAATTTTCATCTCACGACATCCAAATTAACGATTACGATAATAATAATAATAAATGTTCTCCAAACGGCAGAGCGTTCAATCATGAAGATAGTTGCACTGAGTATTATTTATGCTCTGAAGGTGAAAAAGTTTTACAATACTGCTTAGAAGGTCTTCATTTCAACGTTAGTATACAGATGTGCGATTATCCGCAAAAGAAATGTAATCTAAATACACCTGGATCACAACCTATACCGACAGTCACTTTAAATATTTGTCCTCCCGATTCCATACAACAAGTACTGTTACCTCACGAGTGTGATTGCACGCAATATTATGAGTGTATTGACGGAAAACAGATTCTTCGAGATTGTTCGGATGGTCTACATTATGATTATGTTCATCAGATTTGCAATGTGCCGATTAAAGCTAAATGCAATGATTTCACAACAATGATTCCTCAAAGCTCATTTCCTACCATCCCTGATTCAAGTAAATGTTACGACGAAAATAATGAAATACCTCACGAAAATGACTGCAGATTATACTACAAGTGCAACAACGGTGAGAAAATTTTGAAAACATGTCCTAGAAACTTATATTTTAATCCAAAGCTTCGAGTATGTGATTATCCAGAGAACGTCGCCTGCAACGTTGAAGAAAACATACCCAGTACATCAACACCAATCAAGTGCAAAACAATAACAGAAACCACTAATATTCCTCATGAGACCAATTGTAATTTGTATTATGTCTGCGACAATGGCGTCAGCATACTTAAAAAATGTTCTCCAAATCTCGTTTTTAATCCTATTCTGAAAGTTTGCGATTTCCCAGAAAATTATGTCTGCAAAGTAACACGTGACAAGAACAACATTAAAAACATTGATAAAATAGTTCAAAATCTTGATCCATTTACTTGTATTGGTACTTGTCCAGAAGAAGACCCTGATTATGCAGTGTTACTTCCAAACGACGATTGCAAGAAATTCTGTATGTGTAGCGGTGGCGTAGCATGGATTCAATTGTGTCCTGAGCCTCTCTATTTTGATTCTGTTGAAAAAATTTGTAAGAAAAAGAAGGATGCTGTTTGTGGGACACGTTTATATAATCAAGATAGCTCTTTCAAGATTGATAAAATAGTTGATAATGACGATTCGTTGCAACCTTTAGCCGATGAAAACGATAATGAACGTGAAACATATGACAGATCTCTCGATTCATCTTCTTGTATCGGTACTTGTCTTGAAGAAAATTCTAAGCATGCAGTGTTACTTTCAAACGACGACTGCAAAAAATTTTGTTTGTGTAGTAATGGCACAACATATGTTCAGCCATGTCCTGAATTACTTTATTTTGATTCTATAGATAAGGCCTGTAAACGAAAGAAGGATGCTGTTTGTGCGGTACGCTCATTGATGTTCGACAGAATATTTGACGATGATTCAGTATCTCTGAGCGAAAAGGATTATAACGAACGTGACTTATACGACAACCCTTGGTATAAGCGACTTTTCTATAATGTCGATCCGTCTACGTGCATCGGCATTTGTCCTGAAGAAGATACCGACTATGAAGAGTTACTTCCGCATAAGGACTGCAGGAAGTTCTGTATATGCCGTAAGGGTTTAACATACGTTCAACTATGCCCTGAGTCACTTTACTTTCATTCTGTAGAAAAGGTTTGTAGACAAAGAAGGCATGCCGTTTGCGCAACAAATTCATTCAAACGATATCATGCAATTACGAATATTAACAGAGAGGATGATGAGGACGATGACGAAGACAATTCAATAGAATTCCTGAGAGAGAATAATAAACGTAGAAGACATAACTACTTATGGCCACACTTCCATAATTTCAATCCGACTACTTGCATCGGTATCTGTTCTAACTCCAAGTATGCAGTGTTATATCCACATACGGATTGTAAGAAATTTTGTTTATGTAGCAATGGTTTCATGTGGATCCAATCATGCCCTGAGTCTCTTTATTTTGACTCAATACATAAAAGATGTAAACAGAAGAAAGAAGCTGTTTGCGCAGTACATACGTTTAACCAAAAAAAAGTTATTGTGATAGATAAACAAGTCAATGAGAACCAAAGGATAGAAATTCAAGAGAGGAACGATGAACACGAAATATATAATTTTTGGTCTAGGCTTCACTCTTACCAAGATATATCTACCTGCATAGGAACTTGTTTCAATGAAGACTATGATTATGCGGTGTTGCTTCCAAATTTGGATTGCAAAAAGTTCTGTATATGTAGTAGAGGTCTAATATGGATTCAGTCATGTCCTAAGTCATTTTACTTTGATTTTGTAGATAATATTTGCAAATTAAAGAAAAATGCTATTTGTGCCATAAATCGCTACACAAATCGATTTTTTACATTTAACAAAGTGATCGACGAAAATAATTCGATGTCTTCAAGTGAAGAAAAAAATCATAAAATACATGATAACACTTGGTCTAAATTGTATTTCTCAAATCATGAATCTTTCAATAATTTTGACTCATCTACTTGCATCGGTACTTGTCCAGAAGAAGACCCTGAGTATGCAGTGCTACTCCCGAACGATGATTGCAAGAAATTCTGTATGTGTAGCGGTGGCGTGGCATGGGTTCAATCATGTCCTGACCCTCTCTATTTTGATTCTGTTCAAAAAATTTGCAAACGGAAGAAAGATGCTGTTTGTGGTATACGTTCGTACAACCAAGATAGTATTTTCATGATTGATAAAACGGTCAACAATGACGATTCGATGAAAACTCTGACCACTGAAAATAATGAACGCGCAACGTATGACAATCTCGATCCATCTACTTGTATTGGTACTTGTCCAGAAGAAGATCCTGAGTATGCAGTGCTACTCCCAAACGATGATTGCAAGAAGTTCTGTTTATGTAGCGGTGGCGTGGCATGGGTTCAACCATGTCCTAACCCTCTCTATTTTGATTCTGTTCAAAAAACTTGCAAACGGAAGAAGGATGCTGTTTGTGGTATACGTTCGTACAACCAAGATAGTATTTTCATGATTGATAAAACGGTCAACAATGACGATTCGATGAAAACTCTGACCACTGAAAATAATGAACGCGCAACGTATGACAATCTCGATCCATCTACTTGTATTGGTACTTGTCCAGAAGAAGATCCTGAGTATGCAGTGCTACTCCCAAACGATGATTGCAAGAAGTTCTGTTTGTGTAGCGGTGGCGTGGCATGGGTTCAACCATGTCCTGACCCTCTCTATTTTGATTCTGTTCAAAAAACTTGCAAACGGAAGAAGGATGCTGTTTGTGGTATACGTTCGTACAACCAAGATAGTATTTTCATGATTGATAAAACGGTCAACAATGACGATTCGATGAAAACTCTGACCACTGAAAATAATGAACGCGCAACGTATGACAATCTCGATCCATCTACTTGTATTGGTACTTGTCCAGAAGAAGATCCTGAGTATGCAGTGCTACTCCCAAACGATGATTGCAAGAAGTTCTGTTTGTGTAGCGGTGGCGTGGCATGGGTTCAACCATGTCCTGACCCTCTCTATTTTGATTCTGTTCAAAAAACTTGCAAATGGAAGAAGGATGCTGTTTGTGGAGTTCGTCTATTTAATGAAAATCGTGTCTTTATGATTAATGAGAAATGATAATAAAAAAAGGAATCTATGGCACCTTCAAACAAAGAACATGATGACGAACACAGAACAAACATTTTAATCGAAGCTTTATGTCAATTTTTATTTTTATTTTATTGTTTGCAAGTTTCCAAGTTATTGAAATTACTTATAAATCATTATATTCATAATTAATTTAGCGCTTAGTAATGTGATAATATTTAGAGTTGATAATATTTAGAGTTGAATAAATTTTAGAAAATTCTGTTTTTCTTTATAAGAAGTTTATCTATAATTATTTATTTATATATATAATAATTAATCTATCTATCATTAAACAATACCGTCACATTGTATTGTAACTTGTTAATTGTTGAAATTATTGTTCAACATTAATTAACATTACTTATAATAAATTAGAGTAATTGTAATTCCTCGTTATTTCATACTTTTATCACAAATGTGTATATTAATTAAATTCTATGTGTATTAAAATAGATGTTTAAATTCGTCTATATTATGTACATATCTTATATATCTTAGGTATTGTTAAAAAAAGAATTTTGCATAAGCTATATTTATATTTATGCAAGGTTAAATATTACAAATGTGCTATGTCAATTTATATCATAATTTGTATAATTCTATTTATTTCAAGCATTATCCCAGGTATTGATTTTCAATTTCGTGTATTTTGATGTGAAATTACATTCCCATTGGACACGCTATTTGTCATTTTCAAGCATACTCTCATCTTTATCTATACATTGACAAGATATTCGAAACTTAAACTAAAAAAAGAAAAAAGCAAAAACATAATACTGATAAACATAGTACATTACGATTATGCGGGACAATAATCAATTTGGATTTATTTCAGAATCGAAAGAAAATTAATCTCGATATTAGGAGAAAGAGGAAGACGTTCTGGGAACTGTTTATTATACATCGTTATAATATTTGTCAATTACATCCGAAAGAAAGCCGGATCGTATAATATCATATAATGTATACTCGTCGGCGTCGGAGTTCGGAAAGTCGCGGAGCAGGATTTGCTCTTTGTTCTGTCTGATGTTCTCTTGCCTTCGTTGTTCGTTTTGCCGTTGCGCATCTTGAATCATCTTCAGGGTCTCCCAAGTGGCATTCAGCTCCATCAATGGCACAGCATCACTTCGTTTGCCATGCCTGCTCATGTGATGATCGATTTTTTAATTTCTATACTACGATTAATTCTATTTTTATTATTACGTAGGTTAGATTATCTTTGTGTCTTTTTTTTTACATTTCAAGATAATTTTATATTCATAATATTAATTACTTATTGAAATTACTAGTGTTTCAATAAGTTCATGTATGCATTCTTTTATCATAATAGCATGTAATAATTATCTATTATTTATTCCATGTAAATCTTGCTTTAATCTGAGATAAAGTAAAATAACAACCATGAAGTAACTATTATACTATTCGACAAGAGAAACACTAATAACAATTTTTGGATATTAAATACAAATCCGGTTTCCAAATTGCTCCATTAAATTTTATTTACATTTATTAAAAAATTCTTTTAAGAGGATTGAAAATTCTAATGACATTCTTAATTTTGACGATAAAATTTTTTTAGCACATTACATAATATAACAAAATATATGAAAATAGCCCTTTTTGCAACTTTAACTGTAAATTTCTTAAAATTGTGAAATGATAATTTAGAAAACAGAGTTATATCCAAAAAAAATACTAGAGAAAGTGACTCTCATGTTCCGATGTTGAAAAAAAGTAAATCATTTCTTGTCAAATAGTATTATCAAGCATATGTACATATCGTGTACTGATTTATTAATTATGTTTGAAGCAATCTTATTATCCACTGATTTGCATCACGGAACGATTGGCATCAATGCTCGTAATTACCTCGATTTTCCATACATGTGATAAAAATTTTTAATCGAATCGGCGTATCGCTGTAGTTGAACGTTTGAGTTAGTGATCTGCGGTGGTCTAGTTAATCTAGTCATGGGTTCCGGCTCGGCACAGGTAATCGTTATTCCGATAATGGTAACAAGCAAGCAACAGAAGAAACAAATAGGATTCATCCGTGTCCGCATTTCGAACAGTTTGAAGCAGCAGTCTCGTTGCTGCAACGATACGATGACGCTTGTATACAAAAGAATGCTGGGATAATACTTCGATATTCATATTCTATCGTGAATTCACGATAGAAATGACATTTTTTCTTTTTTCTCTACGGAGAAATTTCCTGTCTTATATGTGACGCACATCAAAGAAACATAATCAAAAATCTTTTAATACGTAATAAAAGTTGGAGATAATCAAGCATTGCGGATTTTTCTGCGAGTTCGCTTCAATGTGACTGATTTGTAAGAAAGAAGTTCAATTAACGTACAAAATTAATTAATATTGTCAACTTCTCTGAACCAATCGAAGAATTCTTGAAAAATGTTAAGAAATCCTTTATTCCTCACAAATATCGTGTTGTACCAGATATCATATTTTATATTTTTTTAAATGCAGAATAATTTATAAAAATATAAATCTTTTGAATTGTTTTCTTTTCGTAAATTCCTTTTATTTTGAGTTTGAAGTGCTCTATCGCAATTTTAATTATAAATTGTCAAAAGAAAATGGAATTATTTAAGTTGTGAATAACAAAGGACGCGGTATTAATTTTAATTTGTTTATGGAATCGATTCGAATAGTGACAGGCTGCAAATCGTTGGAATAAATTCATTAAGAGACGAAACGCAAAATGACAAGGGGAGTCGCGAGTCAATTTCGTTGAATATGCAAAATTCATTGTGCCGTATTCTAATGCATACGATTATACATATATACGTGGTATAGAGTATTACAACTGATGACGGCGATAACGAAGCTGTCAAATCAATTACGGAATTTGATTTTCAGGTATATCCTTTTATGATGATGACATATTTTCACGTTAACTGATTACCTGATCGATAAAATAGCAACGTTTAGCAAACAAAATTGATTAGTGAGCGCTCAGTGATGTTTTAATATGATTGAGTCTCTTTAGTTTATCGTTGAATCTAAGTGTAGAAATTATATTTAAAAAATCACTAAACACTAAACACTGTTTAATTTTCTTTGCTGAAAATAGCCAATGAATTTCTACTTACAACGCTTATTTGAAACAAAACTTGTGTTTCATTAACAAGATTAATTGATAATATCTGATTAATTAATAATATCTGTCATATTAATCAGAGAATTCAACAGGTATATGCATACAATAAGTATATGCGTGCGTGCGTGCGTGCGTGGGTGCGTGTGTGTGTGTGTGTGTGTGTGTGTGTGTGTGTAAAAAATGTAAAAATAATAAATATAGAAGTAAGTCATTTTAAATTAAAATTAAAACAGTACATTGAAGTGTTACGATTTTATTTAATCTTAGGTTTAAAAGTAAATAAAAGAAACAAAAATGTATATTAAATAAATTATATGTAATGCTACAATGTAATTATTAATATCAATAATACGCCTACGGTTTTTAGTTTTTCTTAATATTGTCATCTCAATTTTACGATATAAATTCAAAAATGAATATATAACACTAATATAATATTTTAACTTCCTTGTTGACTATTAATTCATAATCACTTATCGTTTATATTTATTATATTTACCTTCTTGTTATATCTTTAATAAACTAAAGACACTAAAGTCTTATTAGCCAGATACTCATATACTTAAAGTTACAATATCTCTTAATGTGTTAGTAATTGAACCATTTATCTTAATTACAATTTTAAAAAGATTGTATTAAAAAAGATTGAATAACCTATATCAGTAATTTATATCTCAACTAAGAAATAATATAATTCTGCTATAATTTATTTTGTATAGAAAGAAAATTAATATTAATTTAGAGTGACTGTTTTGCAATTGAAATTTATTAATACATAAATAAAAATTATAATTCTAATAGAATACATTTAGAATGCTAATAAAATATATTTCATCAGTTTTATGAATAATAAAAAAAAAATAATAAAAAAATTTATTTAAATATTTTATAAAAATATTTTATAAAAGTATTTTATAAAAGTTACTCCAATAAGTTTAATAATCGGAAAATCTACAGTTAGATTTTTATTAAGAGTTTTCCAAACATTTTTTTAAATTAGTTATGACAAAATTATAATTTTTTAAATTCATATAATTAACAATTAGAACTCACCGTTCGACAAATAAACCTTCGTGGCGATTTGTATAGTAGATTAAATAGTAAATTGAAGATAAATATTCACTTGTATAGGAAGACCGAGTTAAATTCACTGATATTTTACAAATTCTTTTTCACCCTCCGCGATACCCTGGTATCTTCTGAATATACCAGCAGCGAACGTTTCAGTAGTTCGAATCAGCCGCTATGCCGCCGACAGGAGTATATATACCTACGAAAGCACCCTCCGATGCATCCCCTCGACTATAAACCACAACCAATCCCCGAGATTTAATCCCACCATTCATTTTATCCTTGCTAACAGAAAATGTCACTGACAAGAATCAAGGTAGAAAACTGATACAGGATTATACTCAAATAGATAAGTCACGATAACGTCAAAATGACATTAAAATCGGAAACGATTGAAAAATGACTTGTAATAATCATTTTGAAGTCATTTTGACATCATTTTGATATCATAATAATTTTGTTGTTTTGCTTAGATATGAAATAAAAAGAATAGAACAATACGTGGAAAATAACATTAAAAGAAAGCATTAATGATTATACAAAATTACGCGACAAAATATAAAATTACTGTTTTAGCATCTTCCTGTCGAAAACTATCAAGAATATATTTAACATAACTTATTCCACTAATATTAGTTTTTCTGCATTACTTCTTATTTTAATAAAATATTATTATATATTTAATATAATATTATTAATCATAAAATATAATATTATTTAATTAGCGTATTCTTCTTAAAATAAAACATTATCGTGGTCATTTTATTTCGATTAAACAAACGTAATGTGGCGGATATTCACCGTGTGGCGGTGTTCTACAGGTAAAGACTTACCTGATGCAGGTAATTCGCAGAGAAATATATATATATATGCCATACGTTGGACATATACAAATGCTTATTTATAAATTATTTTGTCATATGTTATTTTGTAAAATTAATATATAAAAAACTTGTTATATAAAATTCTATTTTCATATATTAAACATCCAAATATATTCACTGATAGCAAAAATAAAAAAAATTGTTTAAATATTTTTAATGTACATTATGTAGATAAATTTATGTGGTACAAGTAATCATAATTTGACACAACGTAAAATATATTTTGCTTCTACAATTTTTCTTGTAAAATAATGAAAGAGATCTAATTATATGCTAATAAAATAGCTGGATTGTACAATTTCTATAAAATTTTTCTTCAAAGATATATAGATATTCAGATAAATATATATATATATATATATATATACTCAGATAAATGAGTATATTGTTACACAGTACTAACAAAGATAGGCTGTAAGATGCATCCTCATATGATGTTATCAATATATAAAATTATAATGCAATAAAATTACTATTTGTCTAATGATGAATAAGTCATTAGGAAAAGATTGAGTTTGATCAAACAAAAAATATTTGATAAGAAAAATCTTTTTATGTCAATTATTGTGTTACATTGCGAATATATGAAGGATTATTATTAATTACAATCTTTTACTTATATGAAATCGTAATCGTAGAAACACTATTATCTTTTAATAAAAATGATGAATCAGCAGAGCAATCGGAAAGAAAAAGTAAAAAAAATAAAAAGAAAAAAAAATGTAAGAACTAACATAAAGGAGACATCATTGATGAAGTATGAGCCACCATCCATCGACCTGCGAACGATGACAACGAGGTCGTAGTGGGGAAATCAAGAGAAGCAACCAAAGGTGAGGGAACAACACACGAGCAGGAAAGGAAGCTAACTACAGTGACGATACTCAAGTCTAGGTAGTGGAGGTGATGGTAGTGGTGGTAATGCTGGAGGTAGAAGAGGGAACCTCCGCAACAGGTTGATGGAAAAGGGGCCGAGAAGAAGGAGGAACAGGTCGGGACGTTTCGCGCGCGAGGGAGACGAAGAAGAACGCGGGAGAGAACGGTCATTGCCACTACCTCACCTCGAGAAGTGCCCGAACGCTAGAGTCCCCGTCGGCACGATAAGCGCCGGCCCCGACACGGTCTACCGTCCATGGTTGTCCCCAGTTTAGCTTGCCGTCGTTTGTACCTACCTCGGCTTTATCTCTTACCTGTGTGGGGAGCTAACTTCTCTCTCTCACGAGGACGCGAATGAGCGCGCGCGCTCGGCCGATGCGTGTCGTCGTGGCCTGCCAATTCTTCGTGCAGGGGGAGCGAGCCCACAAGTGAACATCAGGATCGGGTTGATCCAGAAGTCACGAACCGAGCAAAACCAGTTCGATAGGTGCCAGCCGTGGCGAGCAGGTCGAGCCGGCGGCTGCCAACTCTGAGAGGTATCTTCCTCCTATCCACGGATCCCTGTTGCACGCGACGTATGATATCTCGTGTTTGCCGAGCGGATGTCCGGAGATCGGTTGAAGGGCGTTCTCCAAAGCCCGTGAAGGTCACAGGGTCACAGATGAAACGGGGAGGCGCCGGACGTGGGAGACACCACTCGATAGGCTTCGACCACGTGGCCGCAGCTGTTCACCGCGGATTTGCGATCGAGGGTGCGAGATTTGAGTCTGATTAACGTCAGGTGGTTCAGGTGATCTCGTGGAACGTGCCGAGAACTTAATTTGACCATCACATTATCAAGAGGAGATAATGCATCGTCGTACAGTTTGACAACTTGAAGGAGTTTTGCAACAACATCACAAGCAAAAGTAGAAGCAACAGCAGCGATCTGTCGAGCAGTGTCAGTCAAGGTATGTTTATAACTCTGTCTCAAGGTTCCGAGATATGAAGAAGCGCCATACTTTCTTGCGCGAGTGACCTTCGTTAAGATTACAACGGTCGACAGTCGATGGTATCGTTTTTTGTAAGAGGGCAATGGACTTTCAGAAATAATTCATACAGAGATAATTAAACGATTTGATTGTACGATTGG